GCATCTTATGACTTCAATCTTAGTAATTGGAGTGGTTAGCTATATGTTCTGCCAGGAGAGGTAATGCTCACAGTAATTAGGAATTAAAGCCTGTAGGAAGAAAGTTTAGAGTTCCCCTTACTGTCATGGGAAGTATTGTAACAAATCAATACAGGATTGCCAGACCTGTTGTTACAGATACAGAATGTTACAGATATAGAATGTTACAGATACAGAATGATTTGTAGAGGGCAAAGTGTTTGGTCTGGAACCAGGTGAAAAAAAAGCTAACTGTAGGTCAGCTCTGGTTGGGTAAGAGTACACCGGAGGCTTAGGTGTTCATGGAATCTGTGGGAGTAATAACCAGAGTGTTAATAAAATTGCAGCAGATAATGAACTTTCTTAACGTGTACAAAATGGTTGCCTGCACATCAAATGTAAATCAGGATTTCAAAGTAGTCTCTCATAATTCGAGAGAAAGTGTTTTTTCCTCCTTGAAATAGATGGTCAGTTATGAAGAATATGGTTTGAAAGCCATATAACTACTCATACATTAATTACGTTGGTATTTTGTAAGGTACCTTACAGAAGGTTGGTCTGTTTACCAACAAAGCATTATTTGTATGTATATCCCTTTGTTTCCATAGAATATGGGGCACTTTTCTAAACATCCAAACAGTGGAGGGCAGGGGAGAACAGAGAGGAAGTAACTGAAATTTGGAAGTAGCCAAAATATTACATAACATTCTTTTCTCGGTGGAAAAACATATTATCTTTTTTTTTTTTTTTAAGAACATATTATCTGATTAAATTTCTTTTCTGTTGGACAAATGCTACTGCTGAGATTCCTTTAACTTTTTATATGGCATTTAAAAAATAATGTAATTTTTTTGTCCTGATCTTTTGCAGAGAACTATAATTGAACTCAGCTTTGTGACTTAATTTTATGTAGAAGAAATACAAAAACAACAACAACAACAGTTATTAAGGTTAGGTGACTTAGTCAAGTCTGCCAAGTGTTTGTGTGTAGAATAGAATCTTTGGAAAGTGTATTGAATTATTTGTTTTTTAATTTTGTTAGCATAGCTCTGCAGCTTATTCTTCATCCCTGACCCTAAGTCTTGAGAAGGTGGTTCTTCTGTTTTTCAGTCTGAGTTTCACTTCTTTTCTTGCTCTGTGATGATTGACCATAAGATCATGTTTCTTTCAGGGGAAAAGCTTGAACTCAGCCACTGGGGTTCCGATTTATCGTGACAGATTGCAGCGTGGAATTAAATGAGGCTTTAGACCAGAAGGGGTCTTGAGAATTCCTTCCCTGCCCTTCTGGTATCCTGTCACCACCCTTATTTCACGATACTTCTGATGTGCTACACACATATCCCAAAAAACCAAGCAATTTTCAGACGCAATTAGGTCTGAATGTCTATTTAAGAGTAATTTGTTAATGGCATATGCATCACTAAGCAGAGCCACGAACATCTAAAGCACCTGCATTTAGGTTCACAGCACCCTCACAATTTTTTTCAGGGAAGTAGTCTATTTGCTTATGTAACTAAAGGGTCCATTCTGGTGGTATTTTTTAAAACAAAAAATGTCTGCTGCAAAGGAAAACTGATGTTTCCACTTGGAGAGACATTTAATTGCTTGTAATTGAAAGTGATGCTTCTCTAGTTTTTTTTGTTTTTTGTTTTTTGTTTTAAGATCCCACATTCTGTTACAGTAAAAGTTGTTCTTCCTCTAACCCATTAAATCTTTGCGGGAAAAATGGACTCCCCAGTAAAATAAGCCATCTTTATCCTCTTTATAGGAATATATATCCTTTTTATAGGAACATCCCTCACCACCACTGCCCTTTTTTTAGGGTTACATGATGCTATTTACAAGTACCTCAGCCTTCAAAAAGCTTTTCTCCTTTTAGCCCCTGCTTCACCTCAAGATTTATTAGACTTTCCTAACCTTTTTAAGCCTGGAGCTACTGAGTAGTGTACTGGGATTGTATCAAACCTAGGTAGGCCAACAATTAACATGTATTTCTGATTTGGTCTTTTGCATATACATTATTTTATATTCCTGATTCCATGTCCATATTCTTGAGTCCTCTTGAAATAAAAAATATAGTTCTTTTTAAAATTCTCTTTAGAATTTAGTACATGCTTTTGTACATGCAAACAAATACTGCCAATATAATCATTAAAACAAATTAGTGCCTATTGCTTTTTAGTTTTGGTTATTGTTTCACTAAAAAGTATACAGTACCATTGAAATAGTTACACATTTTAAAGGTAAGTTTTGATTAAATTAATCCCAGTCATTCTGAATTATCAAGTTAGAGCAGAATTACTCTTGTGGAATCTATGTCCCCATACTTACCTCTTCTGATTTTAAAGAAGATGATTGTTTGATTGAATTCAGAATTTAAGAGGGTAAAGGACATCTAGTCACTGCAGGTCAGCTCTGCCACTAAGTCCAACCAGTTGGTTACTGATTATCTACCCTGCTTTAGAGACACTCATGGCAGATTCGGTTACATATAAGTGAGTTGTTCAGTCCATGTGGCTTGGTCTAGGTGTTCTAAGATTTTAATTTTCAGGGTATATTATATCACACAGTGATTTTAAAAATAAGAAAGGAGTCACAGGAAAGCAGTGAAAAAGAGAAAAGGATTTAAATAGGACCAGAGAAATTAGTATGAATAAGATAATGTCTGAGAGAGAATAATCAAAATGAAGGGCTCTTACAGAATCATGTAATCATTTTATTCTACCTCCTTCATGTCTGTCTTTTTTTTTTTTTTAATTTTTTTTTTCAACGTTTATTTATTTTTGGGACAGAGAGAGACAGAGCATGAACGGGCGAGGGGCAGAGAGAGAGGGAGACACAGAATCGGAAACAGGCTCCAGGCTCTGAGCCATCAGCCCAGAGCCCGACGCGGGGCTCGAACTCACAGACCGCGAGATCGTGACCTGGCTGAAGTCAGATGCTTAACCGACTGTGCCACCCAGGCGCCCCCTTCATGTCTGTCTTTAAATCGTTCCTGTATTCTCGATTTCTCATTCCTTGAAACAAGATTTTTATTTGAGTGTTTATTTGTTTTGAGAGACAGAGAGAAAGCGTGCGCATGTGTGCGTGCGAGCAGGGGGAGGGGCAGAGAGAGAGAGGGAGAGAGAACATCTCAATCAGGCTCCACCCCATCAGCACAGAGTCTGATGTGGGGCTGTATCCCACAAAATGTGAGATCATGATCTGAGCCAAAATCAAGAGTGAGACACTTAACTGACTGAGCCACCCAGGCACCCCTTGAAACAAGATTTTTTTTTAATGTGTAAATAAGAGGACTTTTAGGTAGAATGATGTTGTGAGTCAGAAAGTGCTCTCTCCTGAATTTCCTCATAATATCTCTGTTTCTGGTGTCCATTTCGTCTCTTAATTGTAATTATTTGAAATAGTTTTAATTTCTCAGGATTCTAATTTTCAATTAATGCTAAAAGTGAAAATCCTTAGTTAAAACTATAAGTTATTGACCCATTTCAGTGTCCTGTTGGATATTGGGAACTAAGGGGAAACTTAGTTTCTTAGTATTTAGTTTCTTAATACTGAGATGGACCATAAGAGTGGTTTCTTCATGCTGCCCCACTGAAGGTGTACTTCAGAGAACTTTCCAGCATCTGAGAATGATGGGCATAGAAGCTAAAAGGAATTCTACTACTTGATGTTTACCCTGTGTCTTCAATTGCTTTCAAGACTTTATTTTTCAGTTTAAACCGTAACCCACATGGTAATTGTGATCTACATGTTTATGAATTTTTAATTCTGTAAAACGTTGACATTTTGTTCTTTAAAAATAACTCCATAAAGAATTTATTATTGGGGCGCCTGGGTGGCTCAGTCGGTTAAGCGTCCGACTTCAGCCCGGGTCACGATCTCGCGGTCCGTGAGTTCGAGCCCCGCGTCGGGCTCTGGGCTGATGGCTCAGAGCCTGGAGCCTGCTTCAGATTCTGTGTCTCCCTCTCTCTCTGCCCCTCCCCCATTCATGCTCTGTCTCTGTCTCAAAAATAAATAAATGTTAAGAAAAAAAAAATTTATAAAAAAAAAATTTATTATTGGTAGTTTTTTCTTGAAGGTACCAGAGCTGTAGCAATTGTGTTTATTTGAAATAAAGATTCCCAGTGCCGCGCTAGTCTCAGTCTGGTGAAGCTTTTCCGTCGCTTGCAGAGATTCGCCGGGTCATGGTGCCAGCCTGACTGAGAAAGGGACGCTCCTGGGAGACGAATGAGGAACCACCTCCTCCTGCTGTTCAAGTACAGGGGCCTGGTCCATAAAAGGAAGAAAAGCAAAAGACAAGAATGGCTAAATTCGTCATCTGCCCAGCCCCTGCCACCCACTGCAGTGACATCCTGCGGCTGATCAAGGAACTGGCCAAATAAGAATATATGGAAGAGCAAGTGGCATTAACTGAAAAAGATCTATTAGAGGATGGTTTCGGAGAGCACCCTTTCTACCACTGCCTGGTTGCAGAAGTGCCCAAGGAGCACCGGCTTCTGGAAGGACGCAGCGTTGTTGGTGTTGCCATGTACTAGTTTACGTATGACCTGCGGATTGGCACACTGTTGTATCCTGAGGACTTATTCATAATGAGTGATTACAGAGGCTTTGGCATAGGATCACAGATTCTGAAGAACCTAAGCCAGGTTGCAATGAAATGTCACTGCAGCAGCGTGCACTTCTTGGTAGCAGAATGGAATGAACCATCTATCAATTTCTACAAAAGAAGAGGTGCTTCTCATCTGTACAGCAAAGAGGGATGGAGACCCTTCAAGATACACAAAGAGTATTTGCTAAAAATGGCAGGAGAGGAGTGAGGAATGCTGGTGCAGAAAATGACAGCTTTCATTCTATTTTAGATTAAATTCTCAATGATCTTGCTTTCTATCCTGTTTGTGGTCAAATAATAGAATGAACACCCATTCCAAAGCTTTATTACCAGTGGCAGGTTTGCATGTTTGAAATGCAGTCTGTTTAAGATGGTAGTCTTGTATGCCGTTTGGAGTCTCCTTGAACATCTTTTGATAAACAGCAAGATGGTGTGATCTTGATGTATATGAAAAAAACTTCATTCTTGTGAGTCATTTAAGTGTGTACAATGTACACACTGGTACTTAAGAGTTTCTGTTTTAATTCTTTTTTAATAAACTCCCCTTTGATTTAAAAATAAAATAAAAACATAAAAAGTTTCCCTAGAGTAGTGGTTCTCAAACTTTAGTAGTGTGTCTGAGTCATCTAGAGGAATTTTTAAAACACAGGGTGTTGGGTGCTATTAGTCATATTACTGATTCAGCAACTGTGGGATGAGGCCAGAGACTTTGCATTTCCAACAAGTTCCCAGGTGGTGCTAAAACTGCTGGTCCTGAAACCATACTTTGAGAGGCACTGAGTACAGTATTGATTGCAGAAGTCTGAGACAAAGCTGAATCTCATCTGTGCTGAATGAATGCTGAGTTGCTTGTAATGCAAACAGAGTCATTCTACCTATTGGATGAGTACCAACGATGGCATTTAATGCAGTGTCATATTTTATTTATTTTCATAGATTGGAGCATATGATCAACAAATATGGGAAAAATCTGTTGAGCAAAGAGAAATCAAGGTAACAAGTTTATTTCATTTTGTATATTCTAAAACATAGTTCTATAAGTTGATTATTAACCACATTTTAATTTATATCTCTCCATATACTTTTAATTAAAGTACTTTTAAATAACGAGATAAACTCCAAAGTTTTAAATAAAGAGGTATACTCTTATGCTGGCATAATCATGTGTCTTTACCTCTGATGATTTATTTATTTATTGTTTTTGCTTTTTAGCATCTTTCTGTTCTTTTAAAATTTAATTTCTTATGATTATTTTTTTATCAGCTGTCTGTCTTCCCCTTTCACTTGTCACCTTATACTTCTAGTTTGCTTTTCCTCCCTTTTGATGCTGTCATTGCTCTGTACAGTTTATTAAACTGGTAAGTGTTTCAGGACTTTTCCCGCCTGAGTGATCCTGTCAAATGCCGCTCTGCTTCATTGAGATCTGCTTTTGGTGCTACTAACAAGAATGACTTGGACGCAAATAGTTTCGCTGAAAAGTTGGTCATTTTTTAAAAGAACTTAGGAAAATAAAGCATTAATTAAAGTGTTTTTGTGTTAGGTGGTTTTCATGTAATCACTTATGCTGATAAGACATTGTCATAGGCTCCTTGCTAGCATGAAAACTATTTTTTAACCAAATTTATTCTGTTTCTCAGCAGTTGCTCTTTTTTGATAATATTTATATTTTTCATTTGCATAGATAATACTAATCTGTGTGTTCCTGCACGAGCTAAATTTAATCTGAGCCCAGAGAATGTTACTTTAGCTGCTTGACATTTTCTGTCTTGTATAGAAAGATGTATATTAGACTGGAAACCAGTTTTAATAGTTACTTAAAAAAAATCTCAGTGTTTAGACAATTCAGTCATCTATGATAAAGGGCAAGGTTCTTTGCCATTGGTCATTTTTAATCTTTAAACTTTTCATGAAGAATTAAAGTTGGTGTAAACATCTAGTATGTTAAATATAGGATTAAATCATGGGGACAAAAAGATGGAATGGATTTTATTTTTGTAGTAAGATACATAATTACAAATGTGATCAGTTCAGTTAGACAAGGGAGGTGTAGGTCTGTGATGGGGAGTGCAGGGGGAGGCATCCCCAGGGAGGTTAAGAAAGACTGCATAGAGGAAGTGACTCATGAGCCGAGTTTGACAGACGTTAGGGACAATGAGGAAAACATTCCAGACAGAATGGAGAGCATATGAAAATAAATATGCAAGAAGGAAGGAACATGACTGACTGAGGAATCCTCAGGAGCTTGGTTGATAATAGGGTGGATGGAGGAAGGAAATTGGAATGGTTAGGCACGAAACCAGAAAGGAAGATGGGAGTCAGATCATGGAGGGGCTTGACTGCCTTACCTGCAAGTCTGAATATAATCTGGAATACAGTGAGGGAGACATGGATGGATTTTATTTTATTTTATTTTATTATTATTTTTAAAAAGAGAACTTTTTATAACTTTGATGTGCAGCAAATTCAGCAGCATACATTTAGCCCAGTTTGGTGGCCAATTCTTAAGCCTTTGCCTTTTCTAACTTGACAGTGTGAGCCACTGCCTTTGGACCCAGGACCCAGGATAGTGGATCTCATCATCATATCTGTCATTGTAACTGGTCCTAATAGCTTCCACCTGCTTAGCCAGAGCTTCTTTGTCTTCCCAGTTAACCTGTGTGAAGGCAACAGTGGTGCAGATCTTCCTATGGACCAGACACCCTAGCCTGGCCTTTCCCTTGATGATGCAGTAGGGAACCCCCCTCTTGATGACACAGGGCAGGCAGGAAGACAACCAGCTCAGTGGGATCCACATGATTTGCAGTCACCACTGGGTGAGCTTTCTTATTTTCCACCAAGGTGGTGACAGTATTAACCCCAGCTCAAAGGACAAGCGACCTCTTAGAGGGGACATCACCTTTGCTGGCAGCTTTCTTCTCAGCCTAGGGCAGCAGTCTCTGCTTCTTCTCTTGCTTTGTCTCTGTTGTGTGTCAGGGGTGGGGGTGGGCAGTATAAGTAGTTGAGCAGCTATTTGGTGGTCGAGGGCCCGGGAGAGCTGGTTAATTGTGGGAGGCACTTTTAGACATTTATAGAGAATGGCCCTTTGCCATTGCAGCTGGATGTAGCGGGGCCATTTAACAAAGCAGATGAGGTCTCTTTTGGTCTGGATATCCTGTCCAGTGCCAAAATTCTTGGGCCTTTTTTCACATAGGGGATTGACCACCTTCTTGACCTCCTGCTTCTGCATGACAGCAGGAGGGGGCGGGGGCAACTAGCCTCCCCTTAGCCTTTTTTCCCTTCAGCATCTTGGATGGCTGGAGCTGTGCTACTTTGATTTTTAAAAATTTTATTTGAGTATAGTTGACATGCACTGTTACATTAACTTAAGGTGCATCGTATTTTAGTGACTTGGCAAATTCATACATTGTGCTATGTTCACCACAAGTATAGCTACCATCTGTCCCATTGCATCGCTGTTACAGTAGCACTGACTGTATTCCTTATGCTCTGCTTTTTATTCCCATGACTTACTCATTCCATACTGGAGGCCTGTATCTCCCTTTCCTCTTTACCTGTTTTGTCCAACTCTCCCTACTCCTTACCCCTGCCCCCCCACCCCAGCAATCATCAGTTTGTTCTCTGCGTTT